GAACCCGGGGTGGTGCCCACAAGGGTCAAAGGTCATTCTGACGGTTCGAGGATCTCTTGGAACGACCCTGGGAGCTGGGGGGCTGGCTCTCCGAGGTGCCCACAGGGGAGCAAACGAGCCTCATGTGGGTGAGGTGATCTGCCCAGGCGGGATCCGGACCCAGCCCGCAGAGGCAAAGATCACCGCCCCGGGCCCCTCCTGGCTCAGCCAGCCGCGCCCCCTGCCCTGGCCACCCCGCCTGGCACACACCCCTCCCGTGGGCCAGGCGGAACGCACCTGAGGTGTCTCTTCTTCCAGGAGATCGTGTGGAACACAGTGGACACCACGAACAGCCCACAGAGGCCGAGGCCGTAGATCCAGGCAGAGATGGTCTCCCAGTCATCATCCGACAGGAAGTAGAGGTTGGAGCTGCCGAGGATGCTGGGAATGATCCAGAGCTGGAAGCAGAGTGGAAACAGGTGTTGCAGGACCAGCCTCCCGTGTGGAATCCGGGGAGGGACGGAGGCCCCGAGCCTCCTTGGGCACACCGCCCACCCTTTCCTCTAGATCCACACTGCCCATCGGAACCTCCCTCCGAGGTGGTAACGTCCTAGACCCCCACCATCTGATACGGGAGCCACCAGGCACCAGTGGCCACTGAGCACTCGAACCGTGACTGCAGCAGTGAGGTAGCGAATTTTTAGTTCTATTTCGTGGCGATCGATCTCAGTTTGTTTCAGCAGCCCACGGAGCCGGCGGCCACCACATGGGGCAGCACAGCCCTAGAGAAGGTCACGGTACACACGTAGTCCCCACCTCCTGAAGAAAACGTCCCTCCCCACCAGGTCCGCCTGGAAAACCCCTCACTCGTCACATCCTGGTTTATCGATCACTTCCCAAGAGAAGTCTAGAACTCTCCGAAGCACTGGGGGCGGGGAGTCCCAGAACGTGCGCCCAATTCTGTGTGCCGGGAGCACTGTTTCTAAAGAAAGGGTCTCTGGCAACACCAGCCAACAGAAGGATAACACCAGTCCCAGAGGTCATTTGAGACGTTCTGGCAAGCCACGTTTTTAAAAGGAAAAACAGGTGGAGTTAATGTCAATACTTTATCTGTTCAGCCCGACAGGTCCACAAGACCACGTAATTAACATACACATTTTGAGGAGACATTTTACATCCTGTCTTTCCTGCCAGGTCTTCCCGAGTCGGTGCGTACGTCGCACGCGCAGCACGTCTCCCATCAGACGAGCTGCACGTCAAGTGCGCAACAGCCACACGGGGCCAGTGGCTACCGAGCTGGACAGGGGAGGTCTAGGTCTTTCGTTATTCTCAAAGGGATCCACTGCCCAGAGGGTTTCTTAGGCGAGGCTGGGGTGGAGTCGGTGAATATTCCAAGCAGACGGAACATCGTTTGCAAAGGCATGGAGGTGTACCTTCTACCCAGGAAACAGCGCATTCAGGTGCTGGAACCTGAGGGGAACAGCGTGGCAGTGGGAGGTGGGCCGACACGTGAGCTAAGACCTGCCCGGGAGCTCGTAACGGAGTCCAGATGCTGTACAGGTACTAGGGAGCCACTGAAGGTTCGAAGAGCAAAAAGGGAGGCCTGCTCAGCACCGCAGTCCAACTTCCCCAAATGGCCTTCCCTCGAGATCCCACTCACTCTTCCAAGGGCCACAGAGGACTTGACGTCAGCAGGGACATCACCGCGGAATGGAGATGTCGAGTCTCGCCAAGGGCAAAGAGCCTGCCTCCCCCTGCACCTGGAAGCGTCCCCCTCTCAGCTCTCGGCCCCCCAAAAGCCAACTCACAGCATGGGTGGCACAGTTGGCTGCATGTTCGTACTCGGTGGGCTGGTACCTCTTGTGGGCGGGGACTCGGTGGTTCATGAACCTGGAACGAGAGACATAATTCTTGGAAGCTGGGCCAGGAAGCCAGGAGCAGCTGTGGTCACAGGGTCCCCAGGAGGCCCGAAGACCAGGTCCCTCTAGTGGGAAAAAAGATCCCTCCCCTCCCCATCGCCCCTCCTCTGCCTCTCCCTCCCTTCTTTCCCACCCCCTTTTCCCTCCCACCTTCC